AGCAGGAATACTATGCCCCCTTAAGTTACCTTAATCACATGAATACGTAACAGTAGGTGTGCTCATTAAACCCTCTTTCTCCTCCCACCCACCTTAATGAGAACAGCAAAATGCACACAAAGCAGATTTTTAATACTAAAAAGGATTTTGAAGCAGGATAAGAAAAAAACAGAAAAACATTAACAGAAGGAAAATAGAAGCTCTAACGAGACCTGAAGCAGAAAGGGAGAACCATGAACAATCAAGAGGATAAAGTAGAGTTTTACACAGCTATAAAGCAGTCAAGAAAGCACAAGCTGAGACTCCAGAAGAGATGGTGGAAAAAAAAAAAAAATGTATTTTAACAAGATTTTACTATTATTGATATGAACTTCTAAGCCTGGAAGCTGCCAGAGAACTCTGAAACTACCCGGTAGCGCAGAATAAATACCCAGGACCTAAGGATGTCCTATTCTCTAAGGGGAGGAAAAAATATTTCATATATTTTACATAAATATTTATATATTTATGTATATACATTTCAGACATGCTACAAAATCCTACTTCATTCAAGGAAGGCCAACTATGCTTACAGTGAATTTCATGCTAAGAAAGGGAATGACATTCTGCAAGGGACAGAAAAGGATTAGCAAGAATCCATCCATTACTTGCTAGGAGGGCCGAATAAGAGACTACCTGTGATCATCTTGGAGATCCTTTCCATTCCACAAGAAAGATGATCTTCAAAGTGAGTCATCAGCAAATTAAGTCATCCGAGTAGGAAATTCTGATTTATGGAAAAAATCAGTCCGACTTTTATTTGCAGTTCGATGGCCTACTTCTTAGTAAAATGGAGATGAATGTATAGGGGATAATGCAGTCAGCAGTCAAAAACGTACCAAAAAAGGCAAGGGTACTCATTCTTTCATTTGGTAAAAAGTCACGGTGAGAACAAAACTACCAAAAATCTGCTAAACAGAAGTCATTTTCAACTACCAAAAAACCCACCAAAAAAACTACACACCCCAAAAATTCAGCCATTTATCTTAATCTGAATAGGAACTAAAACTACTGGAGCCAGAGGAATCAGTTACATGGCTAGAAAGAGCAATAGTTAACTTATTCAAAACGAAGCAACTGACCCCTCAGAAAAAAGGGAGGGAAGCAGCATTATCGAAAATAGCATTAACTGTTTCAGTTGCCAAACACCAGCTTTCAGGCTACCATCTCACATGCTCAGATTGATGCGTTAACAGACAAAGCTACTGCAGTTCACGTAGGTACCTTCTACGCTTCACAGAAATCGCAATGGAGGATAAGATGACTGACGACTTAAATGCCTTTATAAAATATTGGGCAGAAGCTCTGTTAGCCTTATTCCAGCTTGAATATTGACAGCGTCTCAAATCACTAATATTAAAAATCATCTCCAAAATTTCTAATTGACTGTGTCCTGAACTTCCTGTTGCGTCCAAAAGCAGGGCAAGCCTATTCAATTTCACTCAGTAAAGCAAAATTTACCCAGAACTAAGCGCTCATTAAAGGGCACCAACTTAAATCACAAATATTTGCAGCTTGAAGCACAGACAAGTAAAACAGAAGTATCTGTAAAACTGGCAATTTTTAAAAGGTGAGAACAACTATAAGTCAAACCAGGCATCAAACAAGCTGAAAAAAAAAAATACAACTCATATACTAGTCATTTCATTTGATTCTCAGAAGCCATAGGGCAGTGTTAAAACAGCAATTAGAGAAAGTAAAGGTAATTGAGAAAAAAAGAAAAAAAAGTGTAGGAAGTTAACAGCAAAGAATTAAAAAAAACTGTTAGTAGAAAGAAATAAAGAAAAGAGGAACCGAGAAAACCATGGCCAAAAAGTGAGGGACCGCAAGAATTATATACAATAAGAATGTGGAGTCCAGATAATAATATTGAATGATTCCTAGAAGGAAGAGTGGAGCTGGACAAAACATTCAATAAATTTGTTCTGTATTTGTCAAGAAAGTCAGCTTATATAGTCATCACACAAATGAAAACACTTTCTATTCAAGTTAACTTAGAAGGTAATAATATGTCCAAGTCCTCAAATTCCAATAATCGGCGTGCAACAGTTGTAAGAAACCTCAAAGAGCTCTGTGGACTATTAACGTTCACTTTTAGTAACTCTCGGTTCGCTCGAGATACTCCCAAAGGCTGCAAAAGAGCTGCCACCGTGCCAGTATTTTAAGAGAACAAATATGATAGCTCAAATAATTAAGAACCTGTCAGATTTCCACTGATCCCAGGCAAAACAGTAAGACAGCTAATAAGAATCTAAGAAATAAAACACATAATTCAGTAATTATGAATTTATGAAACTGCATCTTGTCAAATCAACTGCTCAGATTTCAAATTTAAAGTAGCAATAGTGCTTTGATAAATAAACTTCATAAAGCTACCCAGTTCCCACGTCACTTTGCTTAATGAATTAAAATACAAAAATAAATATGAAATGTGCAGTAAACTGGTTCAATAACAGACCTCACAAGTAACTAAGAGGTCATTAAACACACACATTTGTAATGTGGTGCTGCAGCAATCACTCTGATCCTGCACAGCATTTTTATCAATAACCTGGAGGAAAACAGAGGTCTTGCAAAATATAAAGGAAATGGGATGGAGTGCAAAAGAGGCTGAGTTGAAGGAAAAGTAAATAAGGAATAAGTTACTGACACAGAAAGCAGGATTGCTTCTCATTTTGAATACAAATAAAATATGTGAAAACACAGTCAAAAGGAAAACTACACAACCAGAACAGAGAATATATACAAAAAATGCCTTGGGAAGAAGCAACCTCAAATATGATTGAAAGTGTATACAGTTTTATAATATAAATAAATAAAAAAAGCAGCAAGACTTCCGCAGGAAGCCTCATGCTGCCATCTAGAGGAGACTGGTCAGCATTTTTTTTTTTTACTCCTTTGATAGGCAGTTTCAATTAGTAGCCACATTAAACAAAGACTATTAAAATTCAGTACACAAATACACAATCAAATAAAATACCTCTGTCCCAAGAACACATTGACTTTAATGAATAGATCTTTTAGGTTTTTCTTCTCGTTCTCTCACTAAGTCTGTAAGAGAAAAGAACTTAAAGCCAGAGTACTAGGAAAAACAGTTCTGAAAAACTCTGTTCAAATTCTGCATTTCATTTTCTGCGAGAAATTTTTTAAGATAAACATACACATTTTGACAGACAAAATATACTACAGTTTAAATGGAAACAGACTTCAGGGACAAGAAGGAAGAAACGTGAAGATAGCTTTCACAAGCCTTGAAAATACAAGATTCCAGCTCCCGTAGACTGCAATGGTTATTCGAGGTCCAAGAGTTACATTTTCTTGGACGTCATACATTTCACTATTTTCTCATTTAGTCTTCTTTTTTTGTTGTTTTCAGTAAAAATAAGCAGAAATAAATGCAATACGAGTCTTGCTAACTGAACAATACAATCTTGTTAACTTTAATACAATTGGACTCTGCTCAATTTTATCACTGCAAAGCAGTTCGACATTTAAGTTTATGGTTTACTTAAAGCCAATACATAAGCAGCATCCTCCCACTTTGTCTTTTACTAAGATATTGCTTTACTATACTTTAACTTCTACACTACTAAATGCTTTATACAGCCTTAACAGATTAGGCTCTGAAAGTAGAATGAATTTGTGCATGCAGGGGTGTGTTAAAACATGCTTAACAACCTATCTGGGAAGAAAGCATTAGAGTATCCTATACTTAGAGTCAGTAAGATTCTAAAGATAGTACTACTGCTTTTTGCTGTCCACTGAAAAAGAAGTGAAAGGCTTCACACCACGTTACTTATATCACCATATAAAGCTAACAAGGAACATGAAGGGTTTTTCCTAGTCTCAATGACAGTTTTAAAACTTTCAAAGCTTTGTGCTTACCCCAGAGTAACTCAAGTAGAGCCTAAGCTAAAGCAAAACCAAGCAGAAAATATTAAATAAGTAAATAGGTACCCTACAGACAGGGTTTAAAGGAACCTCAGTCCCCTTAAATCAGCCTGATAACAAGAGCCTTGAACGTGTTGATGAAGGCAATTCCTTCTTCAAAAGTTTGACAAAAATTGGCTGCTAGTCAGCGGGATGCAGTTCAACTTTAGTACTGGATGACATGAGCTCTATTCACAGCCAACAGTAGAAAAAAACCACCAATTACAGACGCTGGAAATTAACTATAAACACTAACTGGTAGCAGAATCCTACACACAAGTGAAAGTTCCACTGTGGAGATAGTACACTTAAGTTTCACAGAAATATTGGCATAAATAACCTGAAAATATTTTTAATATCCAAGTGGGAATTAAACAAAGCATGACAATTTATCTAAACCAATATAAATCAGGAACAGAAGTCTATGGGCCACTACACAACACCAGATGGCATAACCATGACCTCTTGTCGTAGAGGCTGTAAGTTCTCTCTCCCCATTTTGGAAGATCACATACACAAATTACCACCTTGTTTATCTATCACACAAATAGGTCTTAACTCAACATTAGAAATGAAACTGAAAGTTACAAAATTCTAAATGTGACCCATTAAGTCACACTGTGCACCTGACAGATTTGCTTTGGGCAGCTGCTAAGAGAGTATCATTCAGCACTCTTTCTCTTGGGAGGACTTCCTACTGCACCATTATTACTGTGAGATGCTTGCCAGGGCTGCCGATACATTTTCCAGCTATAGATATAGGATGAGTACATATTTGCAATGCAGTCAGCCACATCTGCCTACAGCACTTACATTCATCCAGTCCCAGCTGATAAGCCAGGTTCTGCAGGCCTCGAACCTTCTCCATCAGGTTAGCAGTAGTGAGGCTCCCCAACTCTAAAAACACAGAAAAGCATGATTTTTAACAGCGTATAGCCCTCTAGTGGCAATGTACCTGGGCTTACTACTTCACAGAGCACCTTCAAGTCCAACTTTTGACAATACCCGTTTCCACTGAACAAAATACATTCTTTAACTCTCACATTTCAAATCTCAGAAGCACGAAAGACTTATAACAACCTCAAAGTCGTTTTGCTTGCCAGAAATGCTAGGATCCAATGGTTCAAAAAATCACCGATAGTGAGAAAAATATCTTCACCTTTGTAAGCTCTCTAGCAGAAGCTTATTCGCACTACATATTTAAGCGAGCCTGTCTAGTTTCATGCAAACAGGTACCATTATCATTGCCTAAGGCATCACCCCAGGAAGCGTATTCTGCTATTTTTCTTCTTTGTTATTGCCATAGAGTTCTTCATGATCTTGTCTTACGCTATTTCTAAGCGGTTGAATTCTTTGAGTAAACTAATTCTTCCAGATCATTAGCATGGACAGCTTCTGAGCATCGATCCTGCTGTGTTCATTCCTTCACAACTCAGTACACTAGGCACTACTGAACCACAGCCAAGCAGTGGTATTCACATAGTCACCCCAAGTAGGTAGAAGCTATTGCCTTAACCCTTTAGTTACACTGCAGTTGGTAGTGCTCCATGTCATTGAAAAATATTAGTGGATTCATGTGACATAGCTTGCTCTACACCACATTTTAAGAAAATATCGTCTACTTAGCTGTTCCTCCACCTGTCCCTTCTCTCCCCTTAAAAAGGAAACAAAAAAAAACCCCACCCATCTGCTTTAGTAATCTTACCTGCTACTCAAAGGCACTGCCCATACTCACCCTTTAACATATCAATATCATCATTTTCTAATTCAGCCATCCATTTGGGAGGAGAACTAGTAATAGGCTGTTTGAGGGGAAAAAAAAAACATAGCTCAGAAAAGTGTATTTATAGCAGCATACAAACAAAATGTGGTCTAGGATTCTAGAAAATACTCACACTGACAGTAAAAATAAAAGGATAATAGGTACTCTGTAGAGATTTTCCTACACTTAACCTAACTTTCTAACTTCTTCTATAATTTTTGAAAGTAACACCAGTACATACCACTCAAAAGCTGAAAACAGCATAAAGAACAGCATTTTCTACAGTTTTTCTAAAAATCTTTTATTTCTTCCAAGAACCAACACACTACATTCACAACAAGGTATAAGAAGAGAAGCAAAGGCTTATACTGAAACATTCTGAAGTTACAGTTAAGAAATATTTTAGAGAAAAAGGTCACGAAGCTCACAACAGGAAAAAGCAGATCTATCAACAGGCAGGAAACGGGAAAACACGAGGTGCAAACTAAACGTTGCTTACACTTTTGAAGGAGGCAGCAAATTCAGCAACACCTGGTACTGAAAAAAAAGAAAAGAAAACACCAGGTGAGCGGTTGCGGCTACAGAGCACTACGGCCTCCTGCCCATGGGCAAGGCCGCTACCGCCTGCCGAGACGGAGGGGCCCCACCAGGCCCCCCGACGCGCCGAGGCCCACGAGGGCCACCCGGCG